CACTCCTTACTTATGCTTTTTGCGACTGCGATCATGATTGATCTAGCCCGCCTAGATAATCTCCCGGATAGCACTTCTCCTCGCGTGACGATCCGTGGCAGCAGACCTGGACTGTACTATCCATTTGAGGGCAGTAACATGATTCGTGAAGTTGATAACGAAGAACGTGTCCAAGCCATTTCAGTCCTCCTTTCTGAATGGCCTAAGACATACTTGCGATTTTGTCGCGGCGATTTTGGACTGTCTCATTTAAGACGAAGTCGGTGTACTTGACTCAAAGGATGGTCCTCGGGCAGTAGTGGTCAAAAACCTTCACTTTACATTAATATTCCACGCGCATAGCTCAGTATTGGTAGCCTTATAGAAGAGCAGACTGCACAGATGCGCGGTACACGCGGACCTTTGCGGCAATATAAATATCGTGTCGGGTCCATCGGCACTTTTGTAGGCTGGAGAAAGCTCCTCGAGCTGCGTCGATTCGAGAGACAGTGTCATCTTTACTCTGTCCATTCGACAGCAATCTCGCTCCCAGGTACTTGAAGTTGTCTACTTAACCAAGTGGACATCTCGAGGAGTGCCTTTTCTTGGACAGGGATGCGGCATGAAAACACTTATTTGCAGCGTTTGTTGACAAACCGATCAATTTAGCGACATCGTTCACCCATTGTACCGTAGACTGTAGATTGCCAACGCTTAAATTGAGTAAAGCGATATCCTTGGTGTGGTCAGGCAGGAATATGCCTGAGCTCCAGTCATCAGGAACGGCCTCGTCTTCGTGTTTGTGTAATTACCTCATGAAGCCAGGGTGCCAGCGTCGACATAATATCTGTAAACTTAAACGAGTATACTGTCCTCTCCAGGCGCCTTATTGTTGCGCAGCCCTTTTATGGCCTGAACGATTTCTCTTTCAGAAGGCGGGACGCATAACACTGGATAAGTGAGAAGGGGAGGAGACTCCGCTGTAGATGGGAAAGATGTAGAGGAAAGAACCATAATTATGGCACCTAGCTCGAGCTATATCAGTAGACAACTGCAGGGTTCTTCCGTTGATCCAATCACTGCGACGTCGCTGGGTGAATCCAAGAATCTTTTCGGCTACCCTATAGACTAACGTTTCCAGTAATAGCCATTGGATACTCTCTTCTCCGTCCGCTCCTGTCGTGAAGCAGGATCGAATTTCTCAGCTTAGGGCCTTGGCAGTGCTGGGTTGCCGAATTTTAGCAACATCGAGGCGCCTAGTGCGTGGTATTTTGATCGCGGATGAGAGCTGAGCTTTCCAGCGTGTATGAACGAGAACGTGATCAGACCCATGGACATTACCAGTCTCAGCGCCGCGCAGCGACCTGCTATCATGAACCTGCCTGCGGGATCTTGAGCCGACTAAAATGTAGTCAGTTGGACTTGCCGTATCGCTGTCGAGTACCAGGTGTTTGTTGTGGTGC